CTGAGAACAATAATCCTCATCGGTTAACTCTCTTTAATTAAAGGCTCCTGTCTAGGGACTGTCAGCAGAAACAGGGTGCTAGATTTTATTACTGGGAAATGATTATACGTGGTTTATACAAATTCGCAAACAGTCTGTCAATGACTGTTAGTCGAACCAGGCTATATACCCAGAGGCAACCCTGTACACTCACAGCCGCGTCCGGGGAACCTGTGGCCCTCCAGTTGTGTCAGGACTCGAACTCGCAGCAGCCCCAGCAGTCAGCATGTTTGATAAGCAGGGGCTGGTGGGAGTTCCACAACATCTGGAGGGCCACAGGATGCCCTAGCAGGCTCGATTCTGCAAGAATGGTTCCTTACATCAATGCAGTGGTTCCAAAATCAACGATGCACATGAGGAAGGGAGCTTTGGGCTAGGTTTTGAGAGGGGACCCTTAAGGGATGGGGTACAGACATCTGAAGGCAGCCTTGTTTAGGGAAGCTTTTAATGTTTGATGTATTACAGTATTTTAATATTTTTTGGGAAGCTGCCCAGAGTGGCTGGGGAAGCCCAGCCAGATGGGCGGGGTATAAATAAATTATTATTATTATTATTATTATTATTATTATTATTACACCCAAAACAGCCCAGTGAGGAGTCGACATGAAATGCAGACTGGCAGGCAGAGGAAGGGAGACCTGAATGGAATATCCTGGGAAGGGAATGGCTGGTTGAAGACAAGCACTTGGCACTGAAACATTTTGATGCAATTTGGATATATCTAAGAGGGCGCTGTTGGGGAGGAATTGTTCCCTTTCATGGCTGGTGTACGAGCTTCTCAGGCATATTTTAAGGACCACCTGAGGCTCAGTCTCTGAGATAATCCAGATGAGTGTTGCTCATTGTCCTGTGTGTTACAGCAGACTAACTGGCCTCTGCTAGAAGCTGGGACCCTAGTCTTCCTGGTCCCATGCTGTGGAACACACTTCCAGCAAAGATGCAGCAATAATAACACAGTGGTACCTTGGGTTACATACGCTTCAGGTTACAGACTCCGCTAACCCAGAAATAGTGCTTCAGGTTAAGAACTTTGCTTCAGGATGAGAACAGAAATCGTGCTCCGGCAGCGCGGCAGCAGCAGGAGGCCCCATTAGCTAAAGTGGTGCTTCAGGTTAAGAACAGTTTCAGGCTAAGAACGGACCTCCAGAAAGAATTAAGCACTTAACCCAAGGTACCACTGTAATAATAATAATAATACTTTATTATTTGTACCCCGCCCATCTGGCTGGGTTTCCCCAGCCACTCTGGGGGGCTTCCAACAAAGATTAAAAATACATTAAAATGTCACACATTAAAAACATCCCTGAACAGGGCTGCCTTCAGATGTCTTCTAAATGTCAGATTTATCTCTTTGACATCTGATGGGAGGGCCTTCCACAGGGCGGGCGCCACTACCGAGAAGGCCCTCTGCCTGGTTCCCTGTAGCATCCTCGTTTTTGCTCACTGGGGAAATATGCTTTACACCAATCCTGGCCTGACTGCACCAGCTGCCGATTCATTTCTGGGCCCAATTGAAAGTGCTGGTTTTGACCTATAAAGCCTTAGACGGCTCAGGACTGCAATACCTCAAGCACCACCTCTCTCCACATGAGACCTGGACCCTGAGATCATCTTCTGAGGCCCTTCCTCTTGTGCCTCCTCCTATCTATTTGGGGTTTATTGTCTGCCTGTCTGTTGTTTGTAAGTCACTTTGAGTTAAAAGGTAAAGGTAAAGGGACCCCTGACCATTAGGTCCAGTCGTGACTGACTCTGGGGTTGCGGCGCTCATCTCGCTTTACTGGCCGAGGGAGCCGGCGTACAGCTTCCGGGTCATGTGGCCAGCATGACTAAGCCGCTTCTGGCGAACCAGAGCAGCACATGGAAACGCCGTTTACCTTCCCGCTGGAGCGGTACCTATTTATCTACTTGCACTTTGATGTGCTTTCGAACTGCTAGGTTGGCAGGAACAGGGACCGAGTAACGGGAGCTCACCCTGTCACGGGGATTCGAACTGCCGACCTTCTGATTGGCAAGTCCTAGGCTCTGTGGTTTAACCCACAGCGCCACCCACGTCCCTTTGAGTTACCTTGGGCAAAATATTTAATCAGTGTTTTTTCCCCCCTTTTTTAAAAAAAAATGTTTAGGGGCACTCTCATTTTGGCTCAAGAAAACCACCATTTTATAGTTCAAATCGGGGGAAATAAATACCATCAATGGGCAAAAGTACAAAGAACATGCATTGCCTCATATTACACAGCTTGACAGCTCACAGTGATTTTCCTACTCATATTGAAATACTGCCCCTCAATGAGGCCAAACTTTCATCAGCAAAACACCACACATCCACATTCCACACTGCTTCACACATTAAACGCTCGCTTCCGTCTGAGACTCAGGAAATGCCATGAGAGGAAATGAGGACGCCATCGGGGGTAGCGACGGAACTGACGATTCACCGTGCTAGCGAAGAAACTAAAAATGTTTAAAATTTTAGATTCACAAAATGTTTAGGGGTATGCGTACCCCTGTGTCCCCCCAGAAAAAGCACTGAATTATTATTATTATTATTATTATTATTATTATTAGACTGTCAGGCACTCCTTGAATTATGTCTTTCTATGTCCACAGGTCTATGCAGCTATATAAATTGATGAGCCGATACAGATGGAATAATCTATCAATTTCAGTCTCTCTCTCGGGTCGCTGGGAAAAGAGACAACTCTGGAAATTATAGCTCTGTGAAAGAAGTTATAGCTCTGTGACAGGAGGGGGCCTCCTGTCAACTCTCAGCACCCTTAACAAATGACAGCTTCCAGGATACTTTAGGGGAAGCCATGACTGCTGAATGTGTTAGTCTACTGCTTTAGATGCACAGGGAAGATGGGGCCTGATTCTCATTTTCCAGTTCTCCACATTTCCACATCAGTTTGCAAATTCTTTTCTTAAAATAACCTGAAAATTCACCAGCATTTTAATGCAAATTTTGCCTAATTTGCAAGACAATTTTTTTGCAAGCCACCCCCCCCCAAACATAATGCATTTTCATACATTCTTTTAATAAAAGTATGCATTTTCCAACATGCAAACTTTACCCAGCGTATACATTTTCATACCTACAACTTGGTTGAAGAACTGCGTTGCAAAATTCAGGGCAGTTCGGATTTTGAAGGATGGCTGAGTTTCGCTTCGTGTTTTGCTTCAGGAAGTGCAAATGAGAGCAGCTGCCCTTTGAATGCAAACTGAATCGGATTTTGCCTCTGTCCCTATTTGACCGGTCACTTTTATGATTATTTGTATTATATTTCATGGTGGTTGCTTCGTTTGCATTGTTATGACTGTTTATTAAATTTATTCGCTGCTTTTTTTTGCCACAGCAATTTTACACTAACATTTATATCCCACCTTTCCTACTCAAGGGTGGCTTACATACCATATTTTCCCGTGTATAAGATCCCCCCCGTGTATAAGTTGATCCCTATATTTTTTAACCCAAATAAAGAAATCAATAATTATTGATCTGTTGAGGGTTTTTTTAAGTTTTGGGGGGGGAGGTCGCCCACTGCCAATCTCTCACCTGCCTGCCCAATTGTCGCCACTGATCACCTGCCCCCCCTGCATTCACAATCTGTGAATAAGATGGCCCCCATTTTTTGCCTAACAAATTTAAGCAAAAAACATTGTCTTATACACGAGAAAATACGGCAGCCCTCCTCCTCACTGTTTTGACCTCGCAATAACCTGGTGAGGTAGTTTAAGTTAAGCAAAAACTATAAATTATTAAGCTACCACTTGCCACCTGCCGCTATACTTCAAATCCTGCCTAAGTTTGAACACAACCATGATATTTCTTTTTCAAATATTCTACAAAAAACTAACCAATTTGAATTGGATTTCGAATAAATGTGCAATGAATCAGGGGGTTGCGCAAACCGCTATTCTGAACAATGCTTTTATAGGTAAGAGTAAAGGGTAAAGGACCCCTGGATGGTTAAAAGATAAAGGTACCCCTGCCCGTGCGGGCCAGTCGTGTCCGACTCTGGGGTTGTGCGCCCATCTCGCTTAAGAGGCCTGGGGCCAGCGCTGTCCAAAGGCACTTCCGGGTCACGTGGCCAGCGTGACAAGCTGCATCTGGCGAGCCAGCGCAGCACACGGAAACGCCGTTTACCTTCCCGCTCGTAAGCGGTCCCTATTTATCTACTTGCACCCGGGGGTGCTTTCGAACTGCTAGGTTGGCAGGCGCTGGGACCGAGCAACGGGAGCGCACCCCGCCGCAGGGATTCGAACTGCCGACCTGATGATCGACAAGTCCTAGGCGCTGAGGTTTTACCCACAGCGCCACCCGTGTCCCCACCACCACCCGTGTCCCCCCCCGGACGGTTAAGTCCAGTCAAAGGCGCCTATGGGGTTGTGGCGCTCATCTCACTTTCAGGCCGAGGGAGCCAGCGTTTGTCCGCAGACAGTTTTCCGGGTCATGTGGCCAGCAGGACTAAACCACTTCTGGCACAACGGAACACCATGACAGAAACCAGAGTGCATGGAAACACTTTTTACCTTCCCGCCGGAGCAGTACCTATTTATCTACTTGCACTGGTGTGCTTTCGAACTGCTAGGTTGACAGGAGCTGGGACAGAGCGACGGGAGCTCACTCCATCGCGGGGATTCGAACTGCCGACTTTCCGATCAGCAAGCCCAAGAGGCTCAGTGGTTTAGACCACAGTGCCACCCATGCCCCTTCTTTTAGAGGGGGGCGCTGGAGATGAGTTTATGGAATGCATAAGGTGTGGCAGCAAAAAAATTGGGAGCCACGGATGTACATTCTTAGATCCTTAATGTTTGGCGATCACTGGGATAGAGCACGAGATGAGGAAAGCCGGCGAGTTTGATAAACTGGAGGGGGCGGGGAGGGGAAAGAAGAGTCACGTAAACTGGCCTCCTGTCATACCAATTGCTCACCTGCCGCACCGTGACTAAAAAATTAGGAAATGGGTGGCGCTGAAGTTCCACGCTGGCAGGATGCCAGGCGTCGCAGGGAGATGCCTTGCACCACCACCGCCTCCTGGTATCTCCCGAAGGTGTCTCTTACACCCGCCTTCTTGAGATATAAAACCGTGGCAGGAGAGGCAGTTCTATCCAGCACAGCTGATCCCTTCGAGCAGGTAAGCAGGACTTCTCTCCTTTGTGACTCCTCCGGGGCTCCCATCCCAAAACAGAAGGGGTGCAAGGGGTGTTTGCTGTTTGGGATTGTAGTGGCAATGGGCTTTTCCCTTCTTCCGGACTCCCACCCCTTCCCTGTGAACTCCAATCCTTTTCTCGCTCAGCGGTGTGCCTCGTCTCTCAGGACATGTTCAGGCAGAGCTCAACAATTTGCCTTCCCAAACATGCTCAGACTAGGGTGGGGGAGTGGGGAAATAAAAGAGGCAGGATCTGATGGAAAGCTAAAAGTCTCCGTTCTTCCCTTCTGTTGGCCGCACGTAGGAAAAACAGCCGTTTGTTGGATTTCTAAGAGCCTCTTTGCGGGAACTACCCAGCGGATCTCAAGGAACCAACTCGCCACAACTTGCTCCGGAAAAGGGGATTTTTGCCGAACCGAACGAACCGAACCGAATCAACAATGGGCTTTGGTTGCTGCAAGAAGAGAAAGGTCAATTGGAGTGGGGAAATGGGACTGTCTTTCGGTTTTCTGGGGAAGGGAGAGGAGAAATTGTGGATTCATTCTGTGTTGGAAGGGGGGATGCGCGTAGGGTTTTTGGGGTGTGTGGAAAGGATGCCCTCTCGGAACATCTGTGGATCTTAAACTCAGCAAAGCTTCTGGGAAAAACAGAGAAACCAGGTCATAGGGAGCCAGATTGGGTTGGCTAAAATACAGGAGTCAGTTTCCTCCATTAATATTCCAGGGATCATAGGAAGCTGTCATACGCTGTGTCAAACCATTGCTCCATCTACTTCAATGTGGCCTGCACTGACTGGCAGCAGCTCTCCTGCATACGGAGTGTGTACTTTGTAACCTGGCTACATATCTTGCCCATAGCTGTCAAGTGTCCCTTATTTGGCGGGATAGTCCCTTAACCCAGCGCCATGTCCCGCTGCTGTCCCTTATTGATGAGGCTTCATTTGGCTGCAGGCTGGGCTTTCTTCCTTTGGCTCAGAGGGGCTCAGAAGTTGAACATACCTGTGCCCGGGAAATCCCTTATTTTGGCTGCTGATCCCTTATTTTCAAGGCTGCTGATCCCTTATTTTCAAATCTGTAAGTTGACAGCTATGATCTTGCCCCATAGCTAATGTCCTCATGATTCTGGAGAAAGGGTTGATGTGGTTAGGAACACTCTGCCACTGAGACCCAGTCCTTCCCCAGGAGAGAGGGAGAGATCCTCTTGCGCAACCAACTCCCTCTAAGGAAATTTCGGGATCTCCTCGGCCAAACCAGCTCTTTCTAGTTGTGTGAGACACTGACTTTCTGGGGCCTAGAATAGACTTGTCTACCACCTTGGCAAAGTTCTCATCTCCTCTGGAATGGTCCTCCTCATGGGACACGTTGAAATGTTTTAAGGAAAAATGTCCTAATGAGAGGGGTTTGGTAGGTGGGGTGGGGGAGAATATCTTGGCAATATTTTTATTAGAAGCGGAGATGGTTGCCAAGTCTAGTGCTGAGTCAGAGTTCATTGTCCTCGCCTAGGATGCTGTTGGCTAGAAATGAGGAGAGAAGGTGGAAAATTTCATAGAAACATAGAGTTGGAAGGAACCCTGGGGTCATCTAGTCCAACCCCCTGAAATGCAGGAGTCTTTTGCCCAACGTGGGGCTCGTACCCACGATCCTGACATAAAGAGTCTCGTGCTCTGCCAACTGAGCATGGGCCATGGTTTGTGAAAGGGGAAATCAGATGGCAAAATTTGCAGACAGGGAATGCGTAATCCAGCTTTCTCCCAAGCTGGTGCCCTCCGGGTGTTGCTGGACTACAACTCCCATCATTATCTCGGACCACTGGGCCATCCTGGCTGGGACTGATGGAGGTTGTAGTCCAACAAACAACCGGAGGTCAACAGGCTCCCCATTCTGCTCTATACCTCTGCAAGTGCGTTTAATATGTGGTCCCTGATTGGTTGGGACATGTGTATACAGCAGGAGTGGGAAGACCTGTGGCTCTCCAAATATTACTGGGCTACAGTTCCTATCACCCCTGCCTGTTGGCCATGTTGGCTGGGTGTGATGAGAGTTGGGACCCAACAACATTTGGAGAATCACAGGTTCCCTGTCCCTGAACTAAATCGTCATTTGCCTTCCTTCTAATGCAGGGAAGGGGAATCCCTCCAGAGGTTGTTGGACTGCAACTCCCATTATCCCTGGTCTTGACCAGTACTGACTGGGGCTGATAGTCCAACAACCTAGGGGCTCCTCATCCCTGCTCTAGACCTCTGTAAGTGCATTTGATATGTCATCCCTGATTGGCTGGGACATTTGTCTAGGAAAGGGGCAGGCGGGCAGGCTTGTGGCCCTCCAAATGTTGCTGGACTACAACTCCCATCAGCCCTGACCGTTGTCCCATTTGGCTGGGGCTGATGGAAATTGCAGTCCACAAACATCCGGAGGTCACCAGACTGGGGAAGATTGGTGCAAACCCCGTATGTGCGTGTGCATGAAGGTGAAATTGCAGCAGAAGACGCAGATTAGAAAAGCAACCAAGGAGGTTCAGATCACCTCCTATCCCAGCAGCCCTGAATACGAATAGCACATTGGGTCCAGAATGACATGTCAGCAGCCTCCACAAGTGACTTCTGTCGTGGAGACCAGATCCCTCAGCTGATTTTAAATATATATTCTGGATCAACTAGCTTTGCGGTCGGAGAAAGACGTTCATCCAGGGAAACGCCCGAATGCTCTGGCTTCTCTTGACGTTCAAACAGGTTTTCCCTGCTGATTTTAAAACTATATATATTTTAAAAAAACATTCAGTAAGCTCTCGACAGAATGCAGCACGGTGTAGAAGGAAGATTTCATATGGATTTTCAGGATTCAAAACGGGATTTCCTTTCATTTCATTAAAAAAGATGCTGGCGCAGCACAGTCCTATACAGGTCTACTCGGAAGTTGCTTCCAATGACTTCAGTGGGACTCAGTCCCCAAGTAAGGGTGGCAGTCGCAGGAAGCAAGAACCTTTTGTTATTTATGGGCTGTTGTCCTGCGCACACTTACTCAAGAGTAAGACCTATTGGACTGGGAATGCTCCTTGCCTGAAACCACTGGTGGTCAGCGCAGGCAATATCAGACAAGATCAGTGTTTCCCAAACTTGGGTCTCCAACTTGGACTACAGTCCCCATCATCCCTGATGGCTGGTCCTGCTAGCTAGGGACGATGGGAGTTGTAGTCCAAAAACAGTTTGGAGAACACTGATCTAGATGGACCGTGAGGTCTGACTCAATACAGAACAGGCTCCCTCCATTCCTGTCTTAATCAGGGCCTTCTTCCAAACAATGAGGACTAGGGCCTTACTTTATTTATAGGGCAAAATAGCAGCACATCTGCTTTCCATGCCAGAGGTCTGGGGTTCAGTCCCTGGCACCCCCAGTTAAAAGTATATCCGACAGCAGGGGAGGGCGATAGCTCAAGGGTAGAGAGTCTGCTTTGAATGCCGAAGGTCGCAGGTTCGATTCCCGGCAACTCCAGGTAGGGCTGGGAGAGGCCCCTGTCTGCAATCCTAGAGAGCAGCAGCTGCCAGTCCGTGTAAACAACACTGAGCTACATGGACCAGGGGTCTGACTCAGTACAAGGCAACTTCCTGCGTAATAAGTAGGAAAGGCAAGGGGTGGGAATGTTAAGGTGAGAGGCCACAAACTCTCTCTCAGGCTGGGTCTTGGTGGGCCTGGTGGTATGGTCTCTTATGGCTGAAAACTGAGGGTCAGGATATGTCCCTAGACACCATGGTGCAAAAAGAGGCCCTGGGTCTTTCCCACTCCATTGTTAATCCTGTTTGTAGCACACATGATCAGATGGATCAGTTGGCTTTGGAGATTTTTTTGTGCATCAAATAATCGTGGCTGTCAGGATGGGCAAATCATTTCCGTTTCTCTCTGTTCCTCATTTTCCCAGTCTGAAATTCAGCTCTCTGCATTTCCAGATCAGCTTGCAGGGTTTTAACTTTTTTTAAAGTCCTCACAAAAATTCGTCAGCACCTCAGTGCGAATTTCTCTTACTATACAATGGTTTTTGAATGCAATTTCGCTGCGACCGACACATTTCTGCAAAGTCTCCAATATGAGACTTTTCTGCACACGATTTTTACCAATACCTGTGTTTTTGTACACCTTTACTTGGCCAGAAAAATGTGTTGCAAAATTCAGAATAGTGCGAAATTAGGAGGATGGCTGTCTTTCATGCTTGTATTTTGTTTCGTAATGCATCAGTTTGATCAATTTGCCTTTAAATGTGAACAGAATCAGATTTCTCATCCATCCTTTGAGGCTATAGAACGCCCACCTGACGCGCATCTGACACCCACAGTATCATATCAGAGTGCTGATACCCCTCCAGATGTCATTGGACTGCAATTCCCATCATCCATTGCCATTAGCCTTGCTGGCTGGGGCTTATGGGAACTGGAGTGCGACTTTGGGGGAAGTACCCTTTGAGAATCTCAGTCCTCAACACTGACTCTCCATGCCCTTTTGACTTATTCTGCTTTAAACAGTCATGTCCCTCCTCCCAATGAATTCTGGGAACTGTAGTTTGTGAAATAGGATGACAGTTGTTAGGAGAACTACAATTCCCAGAGTTCCTTGGGAAGAGGGATTGATTGTTAAGCCACTCCTGGAATTGTTGCTCTGAGGGGGGAATAGGGGGTTGCCCTAACTACTCTCAGCAGCACCCTTAACAAACTAGAACTCCCAGGATTCGTTTTGGGGGAAGCCATGACTGTATAAATTGGGATCATGGTGCTTTAAATGTATGGTGCAGCTGTGGTAAAAAAACAACAACAACCAGGTCTTAAAATGATTTGGAATATGTCCAGTGGTTGAAGATAGACTCTGGATATCTCCTAAAGTTTTAGAAGATTCGGGATGGATTTGACTTCAGTTTTCATTCATTCTAATGCAGGCAGAATGTGAGTCAGGAAATGAATGAGTTTCAACACAGGATACGGTAAACAAGGATATGATTCGTTCTGGACTGATATGTTTGTGGACAAGGGACACATCTTATCTAGTCTAGCACAGAAGAGGATGGGTGTTGTGGTTTCCTCTGTAATGGAGCTGGGCTGTTTGGTGCAAATGGAATGGATAATCATCTCCAGATTGCTCACCAGAGATGGTATGCAATCTTGGGAGTCTTAATGGAGTTTCGGGGAGGGTGTAACTGCGTAGGAGGGAGTCGGGCCGGTCTGACTGCCTTCTTTTGAGATCACAGACTTGTGCTGATGCTTTGCGTCTCGCAATAACTCCACCCCTTGTCTTTCTCCTTCCCCAGAACTCTCAAGAGCTCACTGATGTGGAAAGGGCCATCGAAATCGTCATCAACAACTTCCACTGCTACGCCGTCAAGGGCCGTAAAGAGTGCATCACCCCCAACGAGCTGAGGGACCTGGTGGGACAGAGGTTGCCACATTTAGCAGAGGTGAAGAGAATCTAGACCTAGAATCTAAGACAGGCGTCCGCCGGAGGGTGGCAGAGTTTTTTTGGGGGGGTGTTTCTGCGTTATGTCGGGGAACAATTCCAAACCAAAGGGATGCAATTCCTCTCTTCAGCCTAGATCAGCTTCCCTCAACCTGGGGCCTGACACGTGTCGTAGGGACTACAACTTCCACCAGCCCCTTCAGCTACAATGGCCAATGGCCAGGGATGATGGGAGATGTAGTCCAACAATGTTCTTGGACGCCAGCTTCCATTAGACCTGGACAGCATGGCCAATTGTCAGGGGTGATGAGCGTTCAACAATGCCTGCAGGGCCTCAGTTTGGAGTGGGGGGAGCAGAGGCCTAGATCCTTGTTGTGAGACACTCAGCTGTGGAAGTAATGGTAGGTCAATGTGTCCACATTCCTCCAACGTTGCTTTGATTGCAGCCTTGTTTCTCTTGTTCCATACAAGTTGGGAAGGAGGAATCTGTGCTCTTCCATGTTATTGGACTTCAGTTCCCACAGAACCTGGCTGTTGGCCTTGCTGGCTGGGGCTGATGGGAGTTAGAAGCTAATAATAATAATAATAATAATAATAATAATAATAATAATAATATTACCCATCTGGCTGGGTTGCCCCATTCCAACAATGTATGGAAGACTTGCTGCAGATTCCCCATCCCTGACACAAACGAATGGAACAGAAACATTCATTGAATGGAGCAGGGAAAGGGAGAAGTGCAGTTTTTCCAAGGAGCAGCAGAAAGGAGAAAGGACCCCCCCCTCCAAAAAATAAAGGGGTACCGTATTTTTCGCTCTATAAGATGCACCAGACCACAAGACGCACCTAGTTTTTGGAGGAGGAAAACAGGGGAAAAAATATTCTGAATCTCAGAAGCCAGAACAGCAAGAGAGATCACTACGCAGTGAAAGCAGCGATGTCTCTTGCTGTTCTGGCTTCTGGGATAGCTGCGCAGCCTGCATTCGCTCCATAAGACGCACACAGATCCCCCCTTACTTTTTAGGAGGGAAAAAGTGAGTCTTATAGAGCAAAAAATACGGTATTTATCACTTGACTAAAAATGAAAAAAGCAATGGAAGTGGTAGATTTCTAATGCAGGGCTAGGAAACCTCAGGTTCAGCCCTCCAGGCATCTCTAAGCCTTGCCCCTTCTCTCCAGGCCATGCCCTCTTCTTGCCCCTGCTTGGCATCCTCCCTGAGTGTTTTTGCCTGGCTGGAATATGTCCTTGAATTCTGACCATGCCTCTTAGCTTGCCAGGATACGGGGGGGGGGGGTGAGTACGGGCACAGAAACTGCCCTCCTGCGTGAAGGTGAAATTATTGACCTTTGCTGCCCCACCCACTTTTCGCTCTGGGACCCTCTAGTCCAACCCCCCAAGTCTGGAAAAGAATCCGCAAACTGTAAATCCAAGCTCTGGTTTCCCTGCTGGGTTTTGACAGCTTCTTTCTTTTCTTCAAACAGAGCGTTGGCACTTTGGACGATAAGATTGAATGCCATGGCGACGGCGACGAGGCCAAACTGCAATTCGGCGAGTACTGGAGCGTTATGGGAGACGCAGCAAAGGGGTGCCGAGTCACAAAGAGTAAGAAGTAACGCGCACCTCAGAGGATCAGAACCACAAGGCCTCGGACCGTTTACACAGGAAGAACGAGAGACTGTCCGCCATGATGTCAATGTGTTGTCAATGCAGTGTTAATATTTTGGGGTGCTCTCCATCCCCTCCCCTTGCTCGGTTCTGGGATATCAAAATCTAGAGCTTGATCGCCTTTAAGTCAGGAAACTTTAAATTCCCAGCCCAGGTTCCCACCCTAACCACTCCAGTCCACTCTAGAATGGCATTGTTGTAAGCTTTCCAGGTACACTGACGTTCTCGGTTCCTGACCGCTCAACTCGAGAACCTTCAAACGGAGGAGCTCTGGACCCTTAAGAGGTCATTTTAGCTCACCGTCTGCATGCTTTCTCGAATTTCCTATTTTCTGGTTTTGATAATTCAGGCCGACCCCCCCAAACTCCTCCATACTGTGGGGGAGGAAGGAAAAGGAGAATGTTAGCCGCTTTGAGACTCCTTTGGGTAGTGATAAAGCGGGATATCAAATCCAAACTCTTCTTCTTCTGCATGTCTGTTTGTTTGAGATCTTCCAGATCTGATCCAGAACTCTTTAGAGATTTACTTTTAAAATAAATTAGTAGCCTTTGCCTCTAGATTTGTTATGTTTCAGTTCTCTCACCCCTGGATCTAGAATGCCCAGAGCACCATGTTTCCCTCCTCTCTCTAGATCCGGAATCCAGAATACTATTTGCTCCAGACCTTGGAAATGTTATTATTATTTTTAAAAATAAACCTATACATTCAATCCAAAGTTTTGATCTCGGTGGTGGAATTCGTTCCCCGCGTGGCCAGTCCATCTTGGTTCACCCGCTTCCATAGCATTGATGATGCTTCTTCCATTAGCTGTGTTTTCAAGCTCCTGGTCTCCTCCTTGGGTGTTATTTTAGTCTTCTAAATTCACAAAGCAAAGAAGCTATGGAGTTTGAATTAAATGGATTGGATTTGGCTGTGCTAGATCAGGTGGGCGGAAGAAGATGAGAAGCTATGGAGATTGGACCTAGGCAAGCACTCAACCCGAATTTACGACCACTGGAGAAATGCAAATCTTGGCCCAACCAACTACAACTGTGGCAACATGGGTTGTGATTGAACCAGCTTGGAGAGACTGGATTTATATAGGCTCCGCCCATAAACCACCAGTTCCTGCGCTGGCTCCACCCCTTCATCTGCCAGAGTTCCAACGTGGCCCCATCCTCTAGCCTCCAACATCAGGTCTAGCTGTGTTGAATGCAGTTCTTAATCTCAATGCATTTGAAATACATGAGTGGTCTTCCCTTCACCTCCTGATAAGCCACCAGGGGGTGAATTCTTGGAAGATCCAGTTCCCTCTTCCCAATACTTACTGTGGCCCTTCAACTCGTCTCTGCACAATTTACTGGGGGCCTAAGGGAGAGGGTGCAAAGCTCAGGGGTAATGGCTTTCAATTTCCTGCCCTAGAAAGGGAAGCAGAGGCTAGCGGTTAGAGCAAGAGGCTAGGAGTTGGGGCTGTGTGTGATTCTTGAGTTGGAGAGAGCAGAGGTTGGGTAGCAAAGGGCATTCTGGGTTGGGGTTGACGTCGCCGCTGGACAAATAAAACAGGTCTGAGACCTAAACACTCGCCAAATGGGAACCGCCATCAAATGCTTTGAAGAAACTCTTCCCTGCAGACGAATCTGGTCCACTGTGGTCATCACGAAGCCATCCACCGAGTGTCCAAGTAAGGTCTGGATCCGTCCCATTCCTTTCCACCTCATCTGGCAAGAATTATCCTCGGTTTCCAAAGTCTGGGCTGGGCGGATGGCCAAACGTTTTGACCTCTTGTGTTGCTTGACATATTATTATTATTATTATTATTTTGTATAAATCCATGAAATAAAGAAATAAGAAAAGAAAGATTGCAAGGGGCTTGTTGTCTTTCCTTCATCACATCTCGTTTAAGGGACAGGATCTTTAAGGACGGATCCATGTCGTTGCTAGCCCGGCAGGATCCTGCCTTGCTGAAATGATTCTAGATCTCTACTCTAACGGTAAAGGTAAAGGGACCCCTGACCATTAGGTCCAGTCTTGACCGACTCTGGCGTTGCGGCGCTCATCTCGCTTTATTGGCCAAGGGAGCCGGTGTACAGCTTCTGGGTCATGTGGCCAGCATGACTAAGCCACTTCTGGCGAACCAGAGCAGTGCACGGAAATGCCGTTTACCTTCCCACCAGAGCGGTACCTATTTATCTACTTGCACTTTGATGTTTTTTCAAACTGCTAGGTTGGCAGGAGCAGGGACCGAGCAACGGGAGCTCACACCGTCGCGGGGATTCGAACTGCCGACCTTCTGATCGGCAAGTCCTAGGCTCTGTGGTTTAACCCACAGCGCCACCCATGTCCCTACTGAACCTTTTATTTCCAGTCCAAGAGTCACATTCCCTTCTGAGCAATCTTTTGGGGGCTGCATGCTACAGGTGGGTGAGGCCACTGACAAAACCGGCAGAGCAACAGATATAGAGTTTACTGTTCTACAGTAAGCTAGTTTTTCCAACACACTCACCCTTCCTTCTGTATCCCGGGAAGCAAGAGGTATGATCAGAGGTCAGGGAGACATTCCAGCCAGCCAGATACACCCAAGGAGGATGCAAAGCAGGGCCGGCTAGCGTTGCTACCTAGGGAGAGTTCTGAGGGCCATCTACAAAGCCTTGGAGGGCCACATTTTGTCCTACAGACTGAGGATTGCCACTTCGCTCTATTCGTCTAAGCAGTGATGTTTTGCTGCCACGAGGAAGTCACTCTCCCTCGTGCTCAGTCAGCCTGTTAATGACCTCCCTCACAGGGTTGCTGTGAGAGTGGATAATTACCAAACATAGAATCGTCGAGTCGGAAGGGACCCCGAGGGTCATCTAGTCCAACCCCCTGCGATTCAGGAATCTCAACTAAATCCAACCTCTGCTTAAAAAACTCCAGTATTCCAGGTCTCATATTCCAGATGGGAACTGAGTACAGTATTGGAAATAGAGATTTCCCCTCTCTCCTCCCCACACAAAGCTTTTCCTGATGTAGCCAAAGATGTCCTGTTACATTTTGTTATGTTACTGCTACGCATTGCTTGTAAGCTGCTTTGAGATTTGAGCAGCTCAGGAGTACATTAAATCAAATACAATGAATCAAATAAAGACAGGAAGCACCACTACAGACAAAGGCTACACACACACAGACACAATATGATAATCTTTATTGTCATTGTCCCATACAAATCAACGAAATTGAAAAAAATCTACATAAGACATTCAAAAACCAACATGCCTGCTATCCCAGGTATCCCAACCTGGTTATCCCCCTAAAAACTCTGATACCCCATTTTTAAATACAATATACTCCCATAGAGACTCCTTACACTGCATTTAAAACCAAAATCACATTTGGATAGAAACTGTTTCTTCTCAGGCGGCTAGTCCTAGTCTTTATAACCCTGTACCTTCTTCCAGAAAAACCATACTCTCTCTCTCTCTCTCTCTCTCTCTCTCTCTCTCTCTCTCTTTTTTTTTTTCTTCCCCCTGGTTTTCACCTCTTGTCACAGCCCCTCAGAAATGATGAACAAAACCCATCCACCTTGAAAATTAGTGCAGCCAAGATCGTTAAAATCATACAAACGGATAACACAACAGTAACTACAAACACAGGAATATATCCATGCAACTCAGAGTTTAAAAACATAAACACACCATATCATGATGCAATCATTTTTCATGTTTTTACGGTATTGTAAAGTTACTTCCAATATAGGGATGCCCTTTCTGTCTGGATGTTTACATTTTGAAATATGGTGACCCTATTCCCAAATGATTTCTACGAAATTAAGTCAGTTATAGGGAGTGAGTAGCTCCCTTGATACAACAGCTCCCTTGGCTTCTGGTCTGTTTCCGGGCATGATTCAAAGCGCTGGTTATGACTTCTAAGCCCTATACAGCTTAGGCCCATGTGAAAGACCTTCGGAGGAGGCCCCTCTCTTAGTCCCACTGCCCTCACAGCCCTGCTTGGTGGGGATGCAGGACAGGGCCTACTCGGTGGCTGCCTCCAAGCTGCGGAACTCCCTTCCTTGAGAAGCTAGACTGGCTCCCTCCTTGCTTGCTTTCTACTGGCAGGTGAAGACTGTCTTATTCTAGCAGACCTTTGGGAACTAACTGTTTTTAAAGGAAAGAGCTTTTAACGGCACTGTGCTGCTTATACTGCCTGCGTTTAATAAGATTTGTTTTTTTTTTATATTGCTGTAATTTTATGAGAGTTTAATTGCTCTTTCATTATGATCTTTTATATGCTTTTAGCCTTTTCTACTTTGCCTGTGTTGTTTTTAATTTGTGTAAGCTGCCCTGAGTCCTGGTTCTGAGAGAAAGGCAGGGTAATAATAATAATAATAATAATAATAATAATAATAGTGATAAAAACAACAACAACAACAACAATAATAATTGATGAAACTAGGGGAACAATTCTGGCACAGCTCTGCCTTTCAGGCCACAACCTTCCCATCAATTTAAAACAGTTTTATACCACTTCAAGAGTCATGATGGAATCTTGGGAACTGTAGCTTGTTGAAGGTGCTGGAAATGGTCGTTCAGCAAGCTCAGCAGCCTTAAGAAACTACAGTTCCCAAGATTCTCTATGACTCTTAATGTGCTATTTTACTTTTAATGTATGGTGCACGAGTATCCTGCCTTGGCCCAGTATACCTGAAGGAGCATCTCCACCCCCATCGTTCTGTCCAGACACTGAGGTCCAGCGCCAAGGGCCTTCTGGCAGTTCCCTCCCTGTGAGAAGCCAAGTTACAGGGAACCAGGCAGAGGGCCTTCTCGGCAGTGGCACCCGCCCTGTGGAATGCCCTGCCATCAGATGTCAAAGAAATAAACAACTATAGGACTTTTAGAAGACATTTGAAGGCAGCCCTGTTTAGGGAAGCTTTTAATATTTGATGAATCATTGTATTTTAATATTCCGCTGGAAGCCGCCCAGAGTGGCTGAGGAA